CTATTCCATTTCGACACGGTGATCCTTCCATTCCAAACTCACTCACTCATCATCATCTTCAGCTATTTGCACGTTCATGGTCTCAAATTATTATGGTGCTAACAAACCACATGAATCCATTTTCTGTTTTCGCTTCAAACAAATTGAAATTCTCAAGTCTTCTCAAAATTATATTGTGTTTCACTTCACCTTAATCCTCTTTTAAAAGCAATATTATAACTTCCAATGTTGTCAAAGGCTCTGTACATAATTCTCCCTGTTTTGTCTACAGACCATGCCCAAGATACTAAAGCAGAATGTTGGTTTCAGAAAATACAACATTTCTGCAACAGATATGTAGGGACCAACATTTGAATAGTTAAAATTCCATAGCAGCATGGGAAATAAGTGCAGGAGTAGGTCATTCAACACGCAACATGTTCTGCTATTCAAACAGCTCATGGCTGACCATCTACCTCAACACCATTTTTCCTCACTCCTCCCAAATCCTTTGACGTTATTAACATCCAGAGTTATATCAATTTCTGTTTTGACCATGTTTAATGATTGAGCTTCTAAAACTCTCCGGATAGAGAATTCCAAGGATTCACCACTCTTTGATGGAAGAAATTCCTCATCTCAGTTGTAAATGGCTTGCCGTTTATTCCAAGGGTATATCTCCTGGTTGTAGACTCACCAGGTAGGGAAACATCTGATCATTATCTAACCTGTCATACCCAGCAAGAAATTTCAATTCAATCACATCTCAAATCTGAGAATCTCTAGAGATGCAAGCCCAGTTTCCTCAACCTCCCCTTATAGGCCATCCTGTCATCCCAGGGACAAGTCTAGTGAATCTCCACTGCACTTCTTCAAAGGCAAGTACATCACTCTTTAAACAGGAAACAGAGCACAATACACCAGCTGCAATCTCACCATACCTCAATACAATTGCTGCAAGACATCTTTACTCCTGTGCTCAAATCCCTTTTTGATCAAGGCCACTACAACACCATGATGTCTTCTTAATTGTTGTTGCACTCAACGCTAACTTTTACTTCTGCGTGAAGATCATAAGATCATTACATAAAGGAGCAGAATTAGGCCATTCAGCCTGTCAAGACTGTTCCACTAGTCATGAACAAGGACATCTTTATACTCCAAAAATAATGGATATATAAATATAAGTCAAGTTCACACTTTATGAGAGATGTTTACTTTAGTTAGCCACACTCCATAAAACTCATCCCCCACTGATTACTATTTCCCCATTTCTATACAACCAACTGAAACCCAATTAACTCTTAAATAATATGTCCATCACCTGTCCCCTTATTTCATTAGATCTCAGGCATTCCATCAGTCTACACAAATGATAACTGTACCCAGATCCCTTTGGACATCTATCCTTCCTAACCTCTCACCAATTAAGGAATGTTATGCCTTTCCTCTTTTCTACCAAAAGTAGATAACCTCATATTTATTCAAATGCCACCTTCCATGTTCTTGTCCTTGCTCACGATAATCAGAAACTACCAACTATATGGGCTTAAAGCTAACATGACTCATTTTTATCCCTTCTGACGTTTCTGTCTAATATGCTTCTTTCTTGCAAGTTTTTTTTAAACAATGAATTGATGTAAATATTTTACAGGCTTTGCGACAACAGATTTCTTTCTATCCCTCTGCTCTTAATATAAATTAACAGACAAAATTTGAGACCATCTTTCAACATGTTTGGAGTAGAAAAAAAGTTCCCATCCATCAGAATATTTACAATAAAATATAAGCAGTCAAAGGAAGAAACACACGCCTTAAATTGTAAGTATTTAAGACAGAATAATCATAGAGGATTTCAACTACCTTCAAAATCAAATAGCCAAAAAAGGTAGGTAAACAGGATAAGAGAATGGAGTTCCTATAATATTTGCAGGACTCTTCTTTAACCCAGTATGTAAGAAGACCAATAAGGAAGGATTTGCCACTGCATCTAGTAACTAGAAATGAATCAGAACAGATAAGTAAAAATAGAAGAAAAACTTAAGGGGCCATATCCGTAATAATGATCATAAATTTCTTTAAGACGTGATTTCTGAAAAAGGCATATGCATTTTACAAACTATTTTGAATATTCGACAAAAATCTCTACAAGTCAACAAAGCTTCCTAGTGTTCAGAGCCGTTCTTGTTACCATTTCCATGGACTACACTTGAAACCTGGGCTGTGCAACAGCAAAAAGTGCACCAGAGCAATTCATTTAACAATGCCTCCCTCACATTGTCTGGATTCAATGCTAGTGGTCTTCTTGAACGCAGGTCCACAGTATTTGGAAAAAGCTCCTATAAAATCAACTTTGGTCGACTGGACAGTGTGTATGAATGCTTAAAAACTGTCTCCTCATCAGCTCCTGTTCTCTATTCTCAAATAGCCAACCTACTGGGGAAAATAAAGAGACTTTTCAAATACACGCTGAAGCTCCTTGAAGAGTGGTCGCATTGACATCACGTCTGTCAGCAAAGGGAAGAAAATCCTGCACTTCAGATTCTATTATCTCATGATAGATCCTTCCTAGTGCCCAATGATACACGTCAATAATCAGCTTGTTCATATGAAAACTGTTATGACCAGGTGAGGAGAGATCACATGGATTCCCTTTTTTAAACCCATTTTCAGTCAATTGCAACAAATACCATTTTGTTCCTTTTTTTAAACCACTTGGCCATCACACTTCGATTAAACTCAGTTCATCAGAATAAAAGGAAGGAAAGTCAATTCCAGGGTTTTCAAATGAAACAGAATAGAGTTGTCATCCAAAAAGACAACAAACACACACAAAAGCATAGTGGATGAACTTTCATAGGGCGGACAGAGAGGGGGGGGGGGGGAAGAGGGGGGAGGGGGGGGTGGGTGTGGGGGTGGGTGTGGGGGAGTGGTGGACAGAAAAAAAAAAGTGAGACAATATCGAGGGAGAGCAGATGACAATGATGCCTGACAAAGACTAAAATAACAGAATGGAAAAAAGGTGAATTTGATGGGTTGAGAACAGAACTTAGGAAAGCAAAATAGGGCAACAGTACTGGCAAACAATGAGATAGAACAGCAGCAGGAAATTTAATATGCAACAGAATTCAGGAAGAAAAAATATTCTGCTAATAAACAAGAACAAAGTAAACAATAATGAGAGTTGATAGTGTGGAGCTGGAGGAACACAGCAGTCAGGCAGCATCAGAGGAGTAGGAGAATCAACGTTTCAGGCCCAAAATGTTGAAACTACTCCTCTGATGCTGCCTGACCTGTTGTGCTCCTCCAGCTCCACCCTGTATCAACTTGGACTCCAGCATCTGCAGTTCTTGCTATCTCCAAACAATAATGAGATACTGTTATAATCCTGGGTGAGACCACCAAATTATGAACCAGTTAAGAACCTGCATCCATTTTGCTAAAAATAAAAGTAGAAAGAAGGTGAGATCCAAGGATCCTACTAGAAGAATAAAGCTTTACAGTTCAACTATTTGAACAAACAACAATACTTTAATATAGGAGTTTGAATTACTATTCTATCTTCCACAGAGTAAAAATTATTTTTTAAACACACAGAACAAAAATCATAAACATAGGTAATATTATGACGAAATGCCCTACAGGACATACAAATATAGCTAAAACAAGAAAGACAGATCTCAGAAACTCCTCCCAAACATTAATGCATAGTGGGTTATCAAATCTCATTAAATTTCACAAGGGATTGCAACCCTTCACTTTTGCAGATCTGACCTTGAAACTCCCTCTAAGAACAAAAGATGTGTATGGAGCTAGAGTTTAACAGTTCAACCCCGAGTTCTGAGGAAGGGTCACCGGACCCGAAACATTAACTCTGTTTTCTCCTTCACAGATGCTGCCAGACCTGCTGAGCTTTTCCAGCATCTTTGTTTTTGTTCCATTTTTCTTACATCCCCATCTTACCTCAGGCATGAGATAGCAAGAACAGCAGATGCTGGAGTCAGAGACAACACAGTGTGGAGCTGGAGGAACACAGCAGGTCAGGCAGCATCAGAGGAGCGGCAAAGTTGACGTTGTGGGTTAGGACCCTTCTTCAGAAATGGGAAGGAGGAAGGGAGCTGGGAAATAAATAGAGTGAGGAAGGTGGGTGGGATGGTGATAAGTGAGTGCAGGTAGGGAGTGGTGGGGATCGGTCAGTGTGGGGCAGATAGGTGAGAGAGAAGATGGACAGGTTGTGTCAGGTCAAGGAGGTGGAGATGAGAGGGAGGGTTGGACATGGGATGAGGCCAGGGATGGGGAGATTTTAAGGTGTTGCTGTTTGTCGTATAGAGTGCAGATTCTCTAAGAAACGGTCTCCGAGTTTACGCCTGGTCTCACTGATGTAGGAGGCGGCAAAATCAGCAGTGGATACTGTAGACCAAGTTGGCGGATGTACAGTTGAACCCCTGTTTGATATGAAAGGTTTGCTGTGGGCCTTGAATGGAGGTGAGGGAGAAGGTGTAGGGGCAGGTGTAGCACTTCCTGCGGTTGCAGCTTGTTTGCTTTGCTCTCAGCAAAGCAGACCCATATTCTCCTTTTAGCTAACATTTACACTTTCTTTACATATCTATGTCTCCTTTACCACCATTATCATCTGCCTTTGGCTTTTGTTCTGAGCACGCACACAATCTGTTCCACTCGCCCCTTCTCCTGCTTTGGCTACTGCATAAAAAACACCATTTTTCTGTTCCAAAGTAGAAGCTGGACTCAGAAATGTTAACTTAGAAACATTTCTCTGTCTACAAATACTGCTAGACCTGCTGAAATTCCAGCACGTGGTTTTCAAATCATAATATTCTCCTGTTTTAATGAAGAATTCACATAATGCTTAATTTTGCTACACTCTTTATAGTTTTTGTCTGAGATAATAGAGCAGATTGCTTATATTTTTGAAAACACATTACTACAAAAGATGCGTATGGAGCGGGAGTTCAAATTTCAGGAGAATCAAAAGCTATCAGCTCAATGTGCTTAAAGCTAACCTGGCTCTCCTTTGTCCCTTTCGATGTCTCTGTCCAATCTGTTACCTTCTCGCAAGTGTTTCAGCATTTCTGGTCGCAAAGGTTTCTCAGGATGTTGTGCCTCATCAGATTTCTTTCTATCTCCTTCTGCTAATATAAATTAACAAAGGAAAGTGAATACTTGACAGTGTCTTCCACAAGATTGTTTTCCTTATGTTTCATTAGTTTAGGTCAGACATATCAAAATCAGGTGGAAAAATGTTTCCACACCTATGGATAATTTTCTCAGCTTCCTGTATGTAATTGCATCATAAATGAACTTCAGAAAATTTATTCTGTATACTATTTCTTGTAAAATTATAAATGTTGCTAAGTTTTATTGGCTAGCTTCTGCATCAAGACACATACACACTGAAGTTAGCTGCCACATCAGCCACTGTGCATATTGCTTCAACAAGTGCCAAACCGATCTAAAAATCCTCAAACAACAAACTAAAAATTAGACATGAACCCAGATGTGAGAGAACCTTCGAGGAATTATGAGAGGACCTCTATCTGCAGCATTCTCCCCTATATCCTTTGGGCTCAGGCTTTCCTTGGGCCCAGTTTGAGATACACCAGATATATGGTATGGCAGAAGTAGACTCAATCCAGGGAGTAAGACTGGGATTTGGGAGGAATTTTGGCAACATACTATGCACTTAAGTGATTTCATGTTAGGACTTTGCAGTGATTTTGAGTGAGAAAGTGCATTAGAGACAATAAGGACTGCAGATGCTGGAAGCCAGAGTCTATAGGTGGGAGATTGGAAAAGCACAACAGGTCAGACAGCATCAGAGGAGCAGGAAAGTAAACGTTTTAGGCTGAAACCCTTCATCAGGACTCGGGAGGGGGAACAGGAATCCAGAAATAAATAGAGGGAGGGGAGTGGGGCTGGGGCAAGGGTAGGGAGAGATGCTGTTAGATGAATGCAGGTAAGGGGTTATTGTGATTGGTCAATGGGAAGGGTGGAGTGGATAGGCGAGTAAAAGATGGACAGATTAAGTCTGGTCAAGGAGGTGAGGAGGGGGGAAAAAGCTGGACATGGGATGAGGCTGGGGTTGGAGGGATTTTGAAGCTGCTGAAGTCAATGTTGAGACTATCGGGCTATAAGCTCTAAGGTAAAGTATCAGATGTTGTTCCTCCAATTTATGTTTGGCGTCAGTCTGACAGTGGAGGAGGCCAAGGATGGATACGTTCCCAGGGGAGTGGAAATTAAAGTGAATGGCAACCGGAAGGTCAGGTTGCTCTGTCAACCAGTCCCCGAGTCTGTGTTTGATCTCCCCAATATACAGGAGACCACATTGTGTTCAAAGGTTGCAATAGATCAGGTTGGACGAAGTGCAGGTAAATCTCTGCCGGATCTGGAAGGATTGCTTGGAGCCTTAGACAGGGGTGAGAAGGGAGATGTAGGGGCAGGTGTTGCACCTCTTGCGGTTGCAGGGAAAGGTACTGGGTGTGGTGGAGAACTTGGTGGTGAGTGTAAAGCTGACCAGGGAGTCGTGAAATGAATAGTCCCTGCGGAAAGCAGACAGGGGTGGGGAGGGAAATATATTTTTGGTGGTGGGTTCTGATTGTAGTTGGCAGAAATGTCAGAGGATGATGTAGTGGATTCAGAGGTTGGTAGTGTGCTACATGAGAACTAAGGGGACTGTATCCTTATTGTTGTTGGGGGGAGGGGGTTTGAGGGTAGAAGTGCAAGAAATGAAGGAGATGCGGTTAAGGGTGTCCTTAATTATAGAGGAGGAGAAATGACGGTCCCTAAAGTAGGAGGATAACTGGGATGTCCTGGAGTAGAGCGCCTATCCTGGGAGCGGACGTGGCGGAGGCAGAGAAATTAGGACTATGGGATAGCATTTTTGCAGGAGGGTGGGTGAGAGGAGGTGCGGTTGAGGAAGTTCTGGGAGTCAGTGGGTTTGAAATGAAAGTCGGTGGTGAGTCGGTTTCTGGAGATGCAGACGGAGAGGTCCAGGAAGGGGAGGAACGTGTCCGAAATAGTCCAGGTGAATTTGAAGGTGGGGTGGAAGGTGTTGGCGAAGTTGATGAACTGCTCGAGCTCCTTGCAGTCACCAACATAGTGGAGAAAGATGAAGAATGGTGCCGGTGTAGTTGTTGAACAGGGACTGTTCCACAAATCTTACAATGAGGCAGTTATAGTTTGGGCCCATGGCAACCCCTTTGGTTTGAAGTAAGTGGGAAGAATCGAAGGAAAAATTGTTGAGAGTGAGGACCAGTTCAGCCAAGCAAATGACAGTGTCAGTGGAGGGGGACCGGTTGGGCCTACAGGAGAGGAAGAAGGGAGGGCTTTTAAGTCCTCTATGTGGGGGATATGGGTGTACAGGGACTATACATCCATGGTGAAGATAAGGTGTTGCGGGAAAAAGGAATTGAAAGTTTTGGAAAAGGTGGAGGGAATGGGTTGTGTCACGAACGTAGGTAGGGAGTTCCTGGACCAAAGGGGAAAGAATGGAGTCGAGGTAGGAGGAAATGAGCTCGGTGGGGCAAGAGCAGACAGAGACAAAGGGTCGACCCGGGCAGTCGGGTTTATGGATTTTGGGTAGGACATAGAAACAGGTGGTGCGGTGTTGGGGAACTCAGGTTGGAGGCTGTGAACAGGAGATCTCCCAAAGTGATGAGGTTGTTGATGGCCTGCAAGATAATGGCTTTATGATCAGAGGTGGGGTCATGATCAAGGGGATGATAGGAGGTGGTGTCAGAGAGATGGTGTCTGGCCTCAGCAATGTACAGGTCAGAACGCCACTACCACTGCGCATGTTAGTGTTTATTCTTCACGCAAGCCAATATCCTAATTCCATATCCATGATTTTATGATGTGGAGGTGTCGGTGTTGGACTGGGGCAGACAAAGTCAGAAGTCACATGACACCAGGTATTAATCCAACAAGTTTATCTGAAATCACAAGCTTTCAGACGCTGCTCCTTCGTCAGGCGGCCTATAAATTCTGTGCCTATGCACTTCCCTCCACTTTACTTGACAAAGAAGCAGCGCTCCAAAAGCTTATGATTTCAAATAAACCTGTGGGACTATAACGTGGTGTCATGTGACTTCTGAGTGGATTTTACAGTCAGCACCAAAGTGATGGCACTCACAACTGACCTCCACAAAGTTTGGTCAAGCTCTTCAGAATGGATCTAACTTTTTTGTTATGAAGTTGTATTAGATTATACTTTAAAATATCCATTTAATTTAAATTGAAATAAAATACGAAGATGAGCCTGTTATTTCACGAAATGCTGCCCAACAAACAGGCCTGTGGGATTTGATTTCCATGGAGACTAAGGACAGAGATCAGTCAGCTGGATGGCTGGTCTGCAATGCAGCATGATGACAACAGCACAGGTTCAGTTCCCACACCAGATGAGGTTACCATGATAAACTCTCCTTTTCAAACTCTCCACTTGTCTAAAGCAAGGTGACCCTCAACAGTCATCTCTCTCTGATGAGAGAGCAGCCCTGTGGTCCTTTGGGACTATGATGACTTTACCTTTACTTTTATTGAGAGCAAGGTGCAAAGTGTTGATGTTTGTAAACAAAGACAAGAATAGTTATGGGAGGACAGACAGAAATAGCTATGGGAGGACAGACAGCAAAGGACTCGAGAGAAACAGCACGTGAGAAAAAGGTCTCACAGAGACAAAGGCTGCAGTTGGTGCAGTCAGCAGAGAAGGCTACAGGTCTGCTGCAAGCTACTAAGTAGAATGCAGGAGAGAAGACAGTGTCTGATCAAGCAATACATCTAGACACTGGAAGATTTGCACTGGTGAGACTCTGAGGAAAAAGAAAAGAATGGGCTTTACTTCTGGCAATTATAGAGTCAAAGGTTATACAGCACAGAAACAGACCCTTCAGTCCAAGCTGATCATAATCCCAAACTAAGCTAGTCACACATAGCTGTGCTTGGCCCAAATCCCTCTAAACATTTCTTATTCATAATTTTATCCAAATGTCTTTTAAATGTTGTAAAGACACCCTGCATCCACCTGGAAGTTCATTCCTCACACGAAATACTGTGTAAAAAAAAAAAAAAAACCCTCATGTCTTTTTAAAAATCTTTCTCCTCTCATCTTAAAAACATGCCCCCAGTCTTGAAATCTCCCACTCTAGGGAAAAGACACTTGCCAATTCACCTTATCTATACCTCTCATTATTTTATAAACTCTGTTCTACAACATTATCCAAGGCTCTATTTTGTATAAGTCTTGCCTTTGTTTGTTTTACCAAAATGCAATACCTCGAATTTATCCAAAATAAATTCAGTCTGCTAGCCTTCAGCCCATTGACCTAACTGATCAAGATCTCTTTGTAACCTCACATAGCCTTCTTCACTGTCGACTGTACCACTAATCTTGGTGTCATCTGCAAACCTACTAACCATGCTTTCTATATTCTCATCTAGATCATTTATTTAAATGACAAAAGTGGACTCAGTAGAGATCCCTGTGTAGTAGGTTTGGAAATTCTGAGCAGATCGAGAAAGAGCACCTTGGACGGTCGCAGGATGTCACAACTCTGCAAAACAGGAACAGATGGAACCATTGGAAACTCGGAATGACTCTGGACTATTTCCAATAAGGACTAATACAGTAGAGAACATGCTGTTAAGTGTAAATGTGGCATGGCATTATTAGTTGCATTTAGCCATTCATAAAGGCTATTTTTTCTGTAGTTTAGTACCTATTTGACCACTAGGTAACATTTAATCGATGTTCTTTAATTTATCGTGGAATGGAGAAATTCAACATTCCACAAATATAAAAGTTACTTAACCAGTACTAAGACAGGTTGTTCAAAAAAAAGAGTTTAATGATCAATTTGGTGTTGAAGGTCCAGTCACCACTCATCCAGCATAGTGCAAATTTAAGGGTTTTTACAGTGAGGTCAGCATTAAAAGTGGAGGTTCACTTCAATTCGGTCATATATGGTTATCTTGCAACGAACACACACATACAATTAAGGAGCAAGGGAATCACCACGGGCAGCTTTTTGTGATTTTGTAATCAACCTGTTCAGAGTTGTTATTACACACCTCTGGAGCAGGTGGGACTTTGAGCCTGGGCCTCCTGGTTCAGAGGTAGGGATGCTACCACTAT